AGGGAGGGAGGGAGGGAGGGAGGGAGGGAAGGAAGGAGGGAGGAAGCGAGGGAGGGACAGACACATTCAACGATGGTAGATAGGTGAAAACGTTTAGCAGTTTTATTCTTGACATCCTATATTCCTTGACAAGCAATGGATAAACTTTTAAAAATATTATTCGGAAGTCTGAATGCTGCTTAAGGATTAGAAAGAAGGACATCTCGTAAACCAAAGCAACTGCAGTAACTACACTGTTCTCTCAACACTAGGTAAGGTCTTCAACAGAATCATTGTGGAGAGAATCAAGACTGCAACGGATCCAAGACAAAGGGATGAACAGGCTCGTTTTCGGAAAAATCGCTAAACCACTGACCAGATTTCCACACGGAGGATCATTGTGGAATAGTCACTGAAGTGGAACTCCCAGCTGATCGTCCGCTTCTTTTACTATAAGAAGGCTTTGGCAGTATAGACCGAGAAACGCTATGGAAGATACTGAGACATCATGGAATCCCACAGAAGTTGGTGAACCTCATAAAGAGCATGTCTGAAGGGACAAGTTGCAGGATTGTACATGATGGCCAGCTCACTGACTGCTTTGGCATCAAGACGGATGTGAGACAGAGATGTTTACTATCCCCTTTTTTCTTCCTAGTGGCCATCGATTCACTGATGAAAGAAACCGCCAGATGACACAGACACGGTATACAGTGGACATCATAGATACAGTTGGACGATCTGGAATTTGCGGACGACTTGGCGCTTCTGTTGCACACCCAAGAACATATACAAGCGAAGAGTTCAGTTTTACACAGCCTATTAGAGTCTGTTGGATTGAGGATTCACCACGGAAAGTCAAAGGTCCTAAGGACAGATGCACAACGAAGGAGCAGGTCACAATAGAATTAAATGCACTAGACCACGTTGAACCCGTTTGCTATCTTGGGGGTATGCTTGACAGAGAGGGAGAAACAGGTGCTAAAATAAAGTCCCGCATTGGATAAGCACAGGTTGCTTTCATATCTTTGAATAGGATTTGAAAGACCACGGATATCTTACTTAGATCAGATGTGAAGTGGATCCTGTTGTATGAATGTGAGATATGGAACGCATCTCAAACTTGTATAAAGAGTATCCAGGCTATCTTGAACAAGAGTCTAAGAAAGTTACTTAGGATCAGATGAACAGACAGAGTCACCAATGAGGAAGTGTTAAGAAAACCCCCCAGATCCCAGTCAGAGATGAAGTAGGAAGAAGGCGGTGTTGTTGGATTGGACATACTCTCAGGAAATCAGGAAGCTGCATAATAAAGAAAGTGTTGGATTGGAATCCACGGGGCAAAAGAGCAAGGGGAAGACCACGAGGAACCCGGAGAAGAATAACAGAAATTGATGTACACAAAAAATGGGAAGACATGGAATAACATCAAGAGGCTTGCCCAGGATAGAGGAAGGTGGAACGTATTTGTGCGTGACCTATACTCCGATGCAGGGTGAAAAAGGCAATGCTGATGATGATGAGGATGATGATGATGAATGCTGCTTGTGATTATAACTAATTCTAATTGTGGAGGATTCACGCCTCAATCTACACATCTAGGGCGCACGTGGTTCCACCTTGTCTACAAGGGGCAACCTGAATAACAAGGATACAATGCCCCAGCAGGCAAATAAAAACACTTTAAAACACCTTCCCCATATAGAAAGCAAATCCACGTTTTTTTACCAAGGAGAAATAATTAATATAACACTTTACTTGGCCAGCTCGGGGATTTCATAAGCTGTTTCTATTTTGTCCTTTCCGGCAGCGACAGCGGCTGAGAGAAGGAGTCGGGGTTTGCCAGAAGTAGCCGCTTCTTTAGCGAAAGCGTCAGCCAGTTCCTGGGAGGCAAGAAAAATATACATGGATGCCAATGGGTCAAATGAACTGAAAAACAGCAGGAAAAAAATGGAATTAAAGCACTTGACCTAGATTATTCCGTTCTCGAGAAAGCTAGCGTTCGTAGGTCACCCGGCTCGTATGAGCTAAAATGTATGCCGGGCATAGACTCTAGCCTCTGTGTAATTTTTTTTTTAAAGGTAGTCTTGTCTAGACCTATACTTATGTCTCTATAGATCTACAAACCAGAAACAATCTTGAAAATGCAAATAAAGAAATAAATCGCCTGTGCCTGTGCTGTCTGTAAAATATAGGTTAGATCTAGATTTTACACCATGCAAAAACGTCGCACGTTAGCCTGGCCTGGAAGTGATCTTATTTTTGTGGACGCGTAGACTTAATGGACTTTTACAAGTACAGGGTCGTAATCAACACTATGTCGGATTCTGCCACCATATACCCCCCCCTACCGTTTACCATCCAGGCTTATTCGCTTGTGGGGTCGGGGGGGGGGATAACTCACTGTAAGATGTTCGTCTCACATTACTGTTGATTTTTACGTACATGGCCGTAATATCATCACAGAACATAGATTCATCCCTTGCGAGACTGGCAGCCAGACGCCATTTTTTAAAGTTACTCTAGGTTCCCAGTTAGACTGAATACACATCTTGGTTTATTCTGTCTCATTCACCACTTAATTTGGATTTAAGACTGAGCATTGCCTGATGGGCCTACTCATTTCGATTTTGGAGCCGTCAAAGGGTCATTAACGTGCTAAACGTCTACATTGTGTCCTCCGAATCGTACTCCAGACCTCTGTGTTTTTGGGTGAACATCGTACCTGTTGAGCTACTCATCCCCTCCCCCCCC